TGGTCATGTTTTATTTCTTAATTAAGGTATATGAGTGTAACTACTTTGTAGAAATTCATTCATTTCCATGCTTGTGACATGGTGATTATTGTGCTGGCTAATTTTATGTATCAACCAGGCTGGGCAAAAAGATGCCCAGATAGCATCCTGTCTGTGTGCGTCTGCGAGGACCTTTCCTGAAGAGATGAGCATTTGAACTGGCAGACTGAAAACTCTGCTCTTGCTGGAGCCACCCTCAGACATCAGTACCACGGGGCCTGGGCCCGCAGGCACGGACTGGGCCTCAAGTCACTGGCTCCCCAGGTTCCCAGGCCTTTGGATCTGGACTGGAACCACACCACCAACTCTTTTGAGCTCCCACTGTGCAGCTGGCAGACGGCGGGACTTCTCAGCCTCCGCCATCACATGAGCCAATCTTTCATGATAAATCTTTCTGTATGTCTCTGTCTCTATATATAATATATACCACGTAAGTTTTGCTTTTCTGCTTCAACTACAGTTGTTTGCGTCCCTCTCTGCAGTGTATTATACTGGAATTTTTAAGTTTATCCATATACGAGGTTTTCTTTTGTGCTTCCCTGGGGGCTCAAAGAATCTACCTGTAATGCGCGCAACTCAGGTTTGATCCCCGGGCTGGGGAAGACCCCTTAGAGAAGAATACGGCAATCCACTCCAGTATTCTTGCCTGGGAAATTCCATGGACAGAGGAGCCTGGTGGGCTACAGTCCATGGAGTTGCAAAATAGTTGGAGAGAACTGAATGACTAAACAACAAATTAAAAGCAGACACCAGTGTAGCTGCACAACACCGTGAATGGACCAAATTCCACTGAATTGTACACTTTAAAATGGTTACATGAATCACTGCAATTAAAATAAAAATAGGGACTTCCCTGGTGGTCCAATGGCTAAGACTCCACGCTCCCAATGCAGGGGGCTCAAGGTTCAACCCCTGGTTAGGGAAATGAATTCCATATGCCGCAACTAAGAGTTCACATGCCACAACTAAAGATTCTGTATGCCACAACTAAGACCCAGCACAGCCAAATAAATTAGTAAAAACTAAAACAACAAAACAGTCATCTCAAAACTTAACCTCAATAAAACAATGTCTATCAGTAGACATTCATGATGACAAATATTAAGAGCTGTAATGTCAAACTTACCCACTGCTGTGTCACCATCTAACAAATTGTCATCTTCAGAAGTCTGGAAGTCCATAATAACACCTGCCCCGTCTAAAAGCTCCTCATCACTACTCACACTGGTTATACTGTTGTAGCTGTTTCTACAGTAGCCTCTATGAAACAGCTGCTCAGACTCCATTTAGCTGTCTGGTTATCTGAAAAAAAAAGGGGGGGCGGGGGAGAAATGGCTTTAACATTTTCCCAACATATAATAAAAACCATGTACTTTAACAATTTAAAGAAAACTTCTGATCTCTGTATTAAAAAAAAAAAATACCAACTTCATTCACTGTAACAATAGCTAACTCTACTAGGTTAAGTCTTTGGGGATCACTTAATAATTCTATTTTCACCAAGCAGTTGTAAAAAGAAATGAAGAACTTCTTCAGGTAATGGTATAAAGTAGTCTCTCAGACCCATTGTTTCAAAATACAAAGTACAGAGAAGTGTTTACAATATACTATAGTATATGCAAGGGCTTCCCTGGTGGCTCAGATGGTACAGAATCCAGCTGCAATGTAGGAAACCAGAGTTCAATCCCTGGGTCAGGAAGATCCCCTAGAGAAGGAAATGGCAACCCACTCCAGTATTCTTGCCTGGGAAATCCCATGGACAGAGAAGCCTGGCAGGTTACAGTCCATGGGGTCACAAGAGTTGGACACGACTTAGCGACTGAACGACAACCACAGTGTATGTGGGGCTTCCCCTCAAAGAAAGGCGGCTGTGGGAGGGACTGACCTGCAGCACTCAACTGGCTGTGTGTGTACAGACCGCCTCTGGAGAGAGTTCTGAGAAAGTTGCCCACAGGAGAAAGGAACAGTGGCTGAGGCATCAGGTATGAAAGGGAGACATTATGTCCCTTCTGGATATCTCACCAGGTGCAAATACTAATGTGAAAGTAATGTCATTTAAACATCTGTAAAATTCCATTCTCCTTTCATCACTTTAAAATTTAAAGCTTCAAAGCCCATAATCAAATATCAGCCATGAAAATATGGTCATAGGTCACTATTTGCAATTCTTCCCAGAAAAGAATTAACAATCAAGAACGCATTTTCACTGCTCTCACTCCGTACCTTAAGAACAATGTAACTCCCGAATAGCTTGGTGTTTTAAATGCATCTACCTACTGGCTCAACATCAAAACAAGTGAGCAAGACACCAGCAAAAGGTTTGAAAGGTTTGCGTGAGGGACTTGAAGGCTAGAATCACAGGAGCAGTTCATCCAGTAAACCTGGTAAAACGAGATTTCTCAGCTCTGTCATGATGAGCACACACATGAGTAAAGGTGAGTGGAAGTATGCATGGTCCACTTTCAGTGCTGAAATCTAGCACACAAGACTTGAAGGTCAAGACACTCTCTAGTTCTCGGGATATTTTCCTCTGGCCGGGTGGGGCTGGGGTGGGGGAGAAGTAACCTCTAAGAGCTATAACAATTAAAAATTACTGGGTCGCAAAGAGTCGGACATGACTGGGCAACTGAACAACAACTTTTAAAAGATGTATAAATTACCTAACTTAAAGAGAAGTTAAGAGAGGGTGGAGCTTGAAAGCTCTGGTCTGAACATCTTACGCAGTAAGTAGAACATAATACACAGATAACAGTGGTCAAATATCAGACTGTTGACCTAATCAAGCAGGTAAAAAGAGAGATGTATTCAGTGTTCAATAAACAAGGCCTTTCGACAACAATGTTAATCTGGTCATGGTAGAATAACCAAAAACTAGCACTTAAGTTACAAAGAAAATCTTAAATATTTACTGCTTTGCAACTTTACTGATGTTTCATGATTACCTCTACCAAAAATGGCCTATTATACAGAGATCTGTTAGAATATATTAATTAAAACAAGAGTTTTATTTCAAGGTACATGTTAGAATAGTATGAAAATAACTTTATGCTAAGAACTTCGCAGTGTCCTCAAAGGTGATCAAATACAATATTGTGGCTCTTGAGTAAACAACTAAAAGTTTTTTGTTTTTTGTTCTTTTTAAAAGCATTAACAATTCAAAAGTCATTTTGATTTTGATGTAGCAAAGCACATACACTAAGATTTTGCAAAGAACACAGACACTATTCTTCACTTCTTTACGTGACGGTCACACTGGAAGCACTTAATACTTGTGATAACATACGTCAATCGACATTAATTTGCTAGAGGCTGTACAACACTGAGAAATCGCTCTAAAGTAAAACTATGTCCTGGGCCCTCCATCAGCAAGTTCCAACACAGCTCCTCCATTTTGTCCCTGGAAGTCCCTCAAAAACTGTTAGTGATAACTTGTAACTTAACCCTTTCACAGTGTTTAAAAAACTTCATTTCACAAACATTTCTGATACATCTAAACTTCACAGCTTTCTCTGTAACAAAAGCAACCAACTCTGTTTCAAAGTTTATTAAAATCAGGTCTGTGTGGGTTCCTATTTCTATGAATTCAATAACTTTAAAAAACTATTCTTAAAAAATAAATAAATAAATAAATAAAATAAATAAAAAACTATTCTTATTAACCCAGAAACCTGTAGAGCTGAACTGTCTGACCAGCAGCCACTAGCCCTGAAACATGGCTCTAAGGAGAAGTATCTACTGGATTCCTGTGATTTCATGACAAAAGGAATGCCAAATATTTCATTAATAATTTTATATTGATTCCATGATGAAACAAATGGGCTTTCCCCAGTGGCTCAGCAGTAAAGAATCTGCCTGCAATGCAGAAGACACAGGTTCCATCCCTCGGTCAGGGAGATCCCCCAGAGGAGAAAATGGCAACCCACTCCAATATTTTTGCCTGGGCAATCCCATGGACAGAGGAGCCTGGCAGGCTACAGTCCATGGGGTCGCAAAGAGTCAGATAAGACTAAGCACGCACATGTGCACTGAAATAATACTTTAGATATAATAGGTTAAATAAAATTATCATTAAAACTAATCTCACCACTTTCTTTTTAATGTGGCTACTAAGAAATTGAAAGTTAAACCTGTGGCTTGTATTTGCAGCACAGGTATTTTTATTGCATGACACTGCTATAGTCAAGAATCTATGAAAGCACAGAGTAAGTACACAGGAGGAATCTGGACACCAGGGTTAAACTGCTTTAGTTTCTAAACTCCATCCCCATGCTTGATCACAAAAGGCTACTTAAACCGTAATACAGCAACTGAAATTCTGCATATAAAAAAATGAACACTACAGTCTTATTTTTCCTTTTAAACTGTCAAAAACATATTTAAAACCATTTCAAATCACTTTAACAGACACAGGGACTTGCGAATATACTTCTGTAGAGCTATGAGGAGTAGAGCTAATCCGAGAGAAATGCCCAGGGAGAAAACTGGGGCGCTGCAGTGACTTCCTCAGCAATCCGTGCACCGTCACCCTGGCCCTTCGCATCTCGTCTCCACCCTGCAGCCAGCATGATCTTTTCCCAGGGCAGGCCTGATGCTCACCTCTCCCCATGCCATGGATTAAGGCCTTAGTCACTTCTCATCACATTTAGCCAGCAAACTCTTCAACACAGCAGACAAGCCTCTCCCGCTCCTCCCAGACACACACCCTCCTCTGGGCCCTAGGAGGCTGCCCCGGCTCCTGCCCAGGCTCCCTGGGCATGGAATGGGCCCTCCCCTCTTCATGGAGGTGCCAGTCCTATGTATCCTTCTGCTCTCACCTCCAGCACCCTCTAGCCAGTGAACAAACTCTCCAGCAGAGTTTATATGTCAGGCACCACCCTAAGCACGTTGCAAACTAACTCATTTAGTATCTGTACTAACCGCAGCCCCAAAGTTCAGGCCCTACTGTTATCCCCATTTCATAGGTGACAACACTGACACAGGAAGATTTGCAGTAACTGCTGCAAAGTCATGTGCTGTAACGAAAGCTGCCTCAGCATCCGTCCACCTGGGCTGGCCGCCCTGACCAGGTCCAGCTCACACGGTGAGTTCCCCCGCCTCCCCTGATGGCACACACCGCAGCTGCAGTGTCACCCTGCTTCACGGGATAACTGATGGCTGTCTGTCCCCCGGAAGGCGGCACAAGGCTTAGCTGAGCCCATTTCTGCATAGCACCATGCACCTATTAACAGGGGTTCACTTTTTTAAACTTTTTACTTGGAGACAATGGAGATGAGATGGCTGGGCGGCATCACCAATGCAGTCAACATGAACTTGGGCAAACTCTGGCCTGCTGTGGCCCGTGGGTCGCAAGGAGTCGGACACGACTGGGTGACAGGACAGCAATGGTGATTTCGCATGCAGCGGCAGTAGGGAATCCAAAGAGCGCCTGCGTCGCCTCCCCTGAGCATCCCCCAAGGGTCACGCTGTGACACTGACACAGAGCCTCCCCTCACAAGGACCCCTCTGTTGCCTTTACAGCCACACCCACTCTCCTCCAGCCCCCTAGCACAGCCTCCCAAGCCCTGGCGACCTCCAACCTGCTCTCTATTCCTGTAACTCTGCCGCATCAACAGCACTGTACAAATGGAGTCATGTCGTCCACGCCTTTGGGGATGAGCTGTCAGCTCGGCACCTGGCAGGACTCTCTAGAGAGCCGTCTGGGGCTGGGGTCTGTCAACAGTCCTTCCCTCTTTACGGCGGCGTCGTGCTCCGTGACACCGACACCACGTATGTTTCTTTAGCCATTCATCTGTGGAAGAACATCTGACTCTTTTCTAGCTTTAGGCTATCACAAACAAAGCCACAATAAATACCCATGTACAGATTTCTTTGTGAAGTTAGTCTTCATTTCTACGGGATAAAAGTCAAGGACTGCTATTACTGGGCCACATGGTAACTGCATGTCCGGCTTCTAAAGAAACCGCCAATTTAACATCCGTACCCACGATATCTGGGTGAGCCTGGTTTTCCACATCCAAACCGGCACTCAGTGGTATATTTGTTTTCAACATTCTGACAGGTGTGTTTTGGTATCTCATGGTTCTTTTAACGTGGTTTCCCTAACGGCTAATGTTGAACATATTTTAAGTGCTTACTTGCTACCTGCACATCCTCCTCAGCGATATGACTGTTCTTATCTTTTGCCAATTTTCTAACTGAATTGTTGTCCAAATTTCATATTTTAGAATAGGTATCTTAGACACTAGGCCTTTGTCAGATGTGTTGTTTGCAAACATTTTCTCCCACTCTGTAGCTTGGTCTTCTTTCTAACAGGGTCTTGTTTGTTGTTTTGTTGCTAAGTTGTATCTGACTGTTTTGTTACCCATGCACTGTAGCCCGCCAAGCTCCTCTGTCCATGGGATTTCCCAGGCAAGAATACTGGAGTGGGTTGCCATTTCCTCCTCCAGGGGGTCTTCCTGACCCAGGAATCGAACCCGTATCTCCTACACTGGCTGGTCTGTTCTTTACCATGGAGCCACCAGGGAAGCCCTTTAACAGGGTCTGTCATGAAGCAAAAGTATTTATAATTTTGATGAAGTTCAATTTCTCAATATTTCCCTGAAGGACTATACTTTTGGCATCAACTCTAGGATATCTACTACCAACAATTTCTCCCAAGTTTTTTCCTAAAATTTTTATAATTTTACATTTTATATTTAACTCTAGTCCAGAGGACGAGATGGTTGCATGGCACCACTGACTCAATGGACGTAAGTTTGAGCAAGCACCACGAGATGGTGAAGGATAGGGAAGGCTGGAGTGCTGCAGTCTGTGGGGCTGCAAAGAGTCAACCACGACTGAGTGACTGCAGTCCAACTGCAGTCCCCGTTGAGTGGACGTCTGTGTAAGTGGCAAGACACAGGCTGAAGCTGGTTTCTGGACGTGTGATGTCCAGCTGCTCCAGGACCACTTGCCAAGATGGTTATCTTCCCCCTGCTGACTTGTTCTGTGGCCTCTGCTAAAAATTAGTTGGGCTTATTTGTGTGAATCCGTTTCAAAGCCCTCTGTTCTGTTTCAGAGTTCTCTGTTCTGTTTTGTTGATCTGTTTCTACACCTACAGCAATAACACACAGTACCAACTACTGGAGCTCCTGACGTTGGAGAGGTTGATTTCTCACACCTGATTCTTATTTCCCGAAATTGCTTTTGTTATTCTAGTTCCTTTGCTTTTCCATACTTTAGAATAGTCCATCTGTATCTACAGAATTTTCCTGGATCAGTTAACTGTCTATGGTGTGGATAACAAACTGATATATCTGTACCTGGATGATGTATGAGAACTCAGATTCAACGAGACCTAAGCTGGACACAAACCTGCTTGTCCTCCCGCCTCACTATCCCAGTTTACAGCATCACCATTTACCTAGTACGCAAAGTCAGTTTTCCGAGTTACTGATTAATGTATTTGACAAACATTTTGCTGAGCACTCAGCATGTGCTGGGGTCCTGAGTAAGAAGAAGTCCCTATTTCCAAGGTGGTGAAGGTGAAAGGCACACATGCAACTACACACGGCATGAGAAGCGCGCAGGAGAGGCACGCGGCGAGTACAGGCGGCGGCACGTAGTGAGACGCGCGCAGGAGAGGCACGCAGCGAGTACAGGCGGCGGCAGGAAGCGAGACGCGCGCGGGAGAGGCACGCGGCGAGCACAGGCGGCGGCACGTAGTGAGACGCGCGCGGGAGAGGCACGCGGCGAGTACAGGCGGCGGCAGGAAGTGAGAAGCGCGCAGGAGAGGCACGCGGCGAGTACAGGCGGCGGCAGGAAGTGAGAAGCACGCAGGAGAGGCACGCGGCGAGTACAGGCAGCGGCACGTAGTGAGACGCGCGCAGGAGAGGCACGAGGCGAGTACAGGCGGCGGCAAGAACACGCAGGAACACGCTGCTGCCTGGGAACGTCTGCAAACGCTGAAGAGGACACGAGCACTGCAGGACCAGGATGCATTAACTAGGCCAACCGTGAGGCGACAAGGCAATGAGGGGAAAAAGCTGCGTCATACGACCTGCTCAGTCAGCTCATGTAAGAGGTGGGGACTAGAGGGCAGCTGCGGAGGCGCCCAGAAACAGGGAGGGGCTCTTGGGTTCTGCTGAAGAACCAATTCACTCACTCAGGTCAACACATGGTAAACCACAAAATCTTTTAAGAGAAGTCACCTGATCGGAAGTGAACTTTAACAAGCCAACCGCGGCGGCAGTGTGGAGGGCAGAGAAGAAGGGCAGGAGACTGAAGACCAGCTCTGGGGAGGAGTCCGGGGGCCCTTACTCCAGGGGCCCCTTCAGCAAGCCTGAGTATAACACAATGAGGGCATCACTGCACCGAGTCACAGTGACGTGACAGCAGGAAGGTCTGTCAGGACCACGGAGGAGGCCATGGTAACTAACAGAATGCAAGCAGGCAGCAGGCGAGGTCTGGATACCCGCTTGGTCTCTGGCTTGATTAACTGATTCAAGAGTTGGAAGAAACAAAGCGCCGTCTGCCGAAGCTTACAGGCCTGAGCACCAGCGCGTGCTTTCCACATGCAGGGCCAAGGCCAGACTAGAGAAGGGGATGGTGACTGAGCACCGATGTGCTCCCCAAACTGCACACTGAGCAGTCTGCCCCGAACTGGGGGCTGGGGAGCAGAACAAGGGAGACGGGACATGCGGCTCAGGGGCCCAGAGCTGAGGGAGGTACGCTGACTCTCCAGAACTCCCAACAAGGTTCTGGCTTCTCATCAGGGGGGGTGGGGGGGTGGGGGGCGGGGGCTGAGGACCACCGCTAAGCTTCCAAGGCCGGTCTGTCAGCTATCTGACAGAACAGCAGGCACAACTGGAGAGAGAAGAAAATCCCAGGTGTCAGCAACCAGAGAGATGAACGCAAGTCTCAGGATCGACGACAGCAGTGAGGGAAAACCCTGAGAGATCTACCACTTGGCCCCAAGGAGCTTTCTGGTAGAAACATCTCAGGAGCTAAATGAGCAAGATATTTGTCCAAGATTAAAATGTGACCGTGAATTTCAACAGAATCACTTACTCCTTTACTGAAGCTTATAAAACAGCAACTCATGTACCAGAAACTGTAAAAATAAAATAAAATATAAATAAAATTTTTATTGATTGATGGCATAAATTACACTTCCTACTGTCCTCAGGGATATGATAACTTTTTCCTACAAATTTGTAAGTATCCATATAATACAAGGGGACACACATCACAAAAGACACCAGAACTGTTTTAAGAGTTCAGAGAGAAGACCACATCCGACTGTAGCTGATGATGACAAGCATTCTTTGGAAGAGATACACGACCTGGATCTTAAAAATGGGGGAGGGGGGTATTCCCTGGTGGTCCAGAGGTTAGGACTCAGAGCTTCCAGTGCTGGTGGGGACCCGAGTTCAAACCCTGGGCGGTGAACTAATCTCTCACAAGCCACCATGACACAGCTGGAAAAAAAAAGGTGGGACCTCACTGGGGCAGAGATGAGAGAAGAGGTTAGTTAGCTGAAGCAAAAGCACTGGCATGAATCAAGCTATGGAGTCAAGAGGGTAACAAAGACATTTACGGATGAGAGAGTTTATGCACAAGTCCAACACAAGGTTAACGGTCAAATAAGTTTGGGTAATAAAACACACACCCCCAGAAACGTCAAGGCTAAGAGCATGAGAAAGCTTCTTGAGAAAACAATTTAACAGTTTTTCTCAAATCTATTTTACAAAGGAACGGTTCCTCTATCCTTTACATCATGAAACGTCGATCACGACATCAGAACATCACCAGATTAAAGAATGTATCCTGATACAAATAGTACTTATAAGAAACAAGGATAATTAAACTGATTTCTTCCCAATGTAACATTTGTTGACATTTTATCCTACTGTCCATTAAGATAGCTGCAAGTCTAAATTGCTGGACTTTTTATATTTTTCTTCAAAAAAGTACTAAATGCATAACCTGCTAAAGGAGGCGGCTATCTATTCTGAAGAAAATTTCCTAGATACAAAATATTTTTTAGATCCAGTAAAAAAGTTAAATGCCAGATGATTTTAAAAGGAAAAACACACACAAGTACAAAGCTCAGACTATCACAAGTGAAAAGGTAAACAACCCAACAATAAGATGCTGTGGAAGACGTCACTTTGAAAATTAATTTTCATGACTTTATAAGACAGAAACTGTTTAACTACTTCCCATGAGGGCAAGAAATATGTTTACCTGACTTCGTTGCAATCAAAGTTGCAGATCAAATCTCTCTATATTTCAGCAATGCAAATGGGCAGTTTCCTCATGTAGGTTCATCTTTCATTTTATTCTTAACTGAAGAACACTGATCTTTAAGAATCAAAATGTATCATAGCTACTGTGTTTAAATACACATGTGAAAGTATAATTAAAAAAAAAAGTTTATTAGAGTTGTGGAAGAAGAATTTAAAAAAGGATACTCCAGAGCTTCTATGATTTTATATTACTTTTATATTGAAGAATGAATGGACCTATGATACCATCTGTCTCACCCTACCTTTTCTTCTAGTATTTTGTTGAGTCTTACTTGCCTTGAAGTGCAGCCACTGACAGCAAGAGGTCTGAAATCACAGTGTCAGGCTTCAGTCTCCATTCTGACACTGACTGAGACCTTGGGCAAGGTATTCAGATCCTCTATGCATGTTTCCACGTCTCTATGATGGGAAAAATCAAAGTACCTACTCCAAGGAGCTGACATGAGAACTCAGATAATACACAAAACCACTTCAGAAAGATCCTGAACCACAGAATTTGCTCAGTAAATGCTAACCCTTATCATATTTTAGGTCCCTGCTGAAAAGTTTTGACTAGAAACTAAGCTGAAAGTTCCACAAAGCAGTGACAGTGGCCCAGCTTCCCAGGATGCTGCTCTGGCCTCTGACCCACCACAGAGATCAAATCTGGCTTCCTGAGCAGTCTGAAAATTATTACCAACAGGTCACAACAGGAAATGGAAAGCCTAT